CCCCCCCCCCCCCCCCCCCCCCCGCGTGCGCGCGCCTACTCTTGTCATCCCGCCCCCATCCTCACGTTCAACGCGCGCAGCTTGAGTGTCACCAGGTCGTGCTGATGCTCGACCTCGTCCATGCGGATCGAGACAACTGCCTGCCCTGCTCTTCCGGTGTTCTTCATCAACGGCAGGGTCGATGTCTGCCCGCTCGAACCTAGAACTTCCGCCATCGTAGTCTCGGCAAACCCTGCACATATACACATACACACACACACACACACACACATCTGGCTTTGATCCGGAGAGGAGCTTAGCCTCCCCAATGACACTCCATCACGGGGTCCCAGATCATGGCCTTTCGACGCATTTTCTGTTGATGCGCGACGCCTTTCCATAAGTCAGCCGGACAAACCATTTCCCTTTTTCCGACGAGCTGAGGGCCACGTATTTTCATTGGCCAGCAGGTTATCTCCGTCGGTGCTAACGTGAAAAGACACACACAACGAACGTTGAACATTTATCGAATTTTGGACCCCTTCCAGGCATCTTGGTTTCAACACGTTCGCACTGACATCTGTTCACTCGTCAGCCGGTTAGGTCGATGCCAATAACAAATTACCAGTGTTTTCTATTACCCCTTGTGGCAAGCTGCTGTACCACGGTAGCCGTGTCCTCCTTGTTTCTCACCCTGGAAGTCTTGCCTCCCCAAGTCGACATTGGTCGCGTCGTTCGTCTTGAAGGCGGTGTCGACGTCGTACACCTCTAGCCGCACGCCCTGAACCTCCTCGAAGAGATAAGTCAACGAGAACTGTGCCGTGAAGTTTGGGTTTTGATCATTTGATATGATTTCCGTTCGACCTGCCGTGAAGGTTTAACAGGGGGGGGGCAACGCGGAATGTAATGATCGGCGAGGAGGTTGGGGCTATGTAGCTGATAATAGCGGTGGCTCCGATATAAAACGGTGGTGTGATGAAGGCACTTGACCCTCTCGTATCTGAGCCCACTCTTCATCGGAATAAGAGGGTTTCCAACTATATTATAGCGGATCGAGTCCGTGACAACCGACTTCGACCTTCTTGTATCGAAGTTCCTTCTTATAAGGTTCACTCCTATATCGGAGCTACGACTGTATCGGCGTATGGTGCAAGATTCTCTTGCGGTGCGGTGGCAGGGGAAGAGGGCGTTCAGTCGCACGTGCGCGAGAGGGGCATATCACATCGAAACCTCTCATCAACAGGACCCGCAAGCAGCAGCAGTAGCAGACCAGTAGCAACAGCAGTAGCAGTTGCAACAAAAAGGGTTGGTTGACGTCACGCTAATGTAGCACCTTGCGATCGGGACCTGAACAACATACAGTTGGCGCCCGCAGTTGAGAAATATTTTGTTCAGAAATTGAGGCTCACTTTTTCACGAAAAAAAAGAAAATAGGGTTAAGAAACATAGTTCAACCTGGGTCACACAATAAGAAATGTCTCAATAAGAAACACAGCGGCGACCGCTACCTTACTACATAAGAAACGAGGGTTTACGGGGGAGTGTGTCGAATAAGAAACAAACCCCACAGCTCTCTCGTTCTTTCCCCCTCTCCCCCTCTCCCCCCCTCCCATACAGTAGTGCATTATTATTATTATAAATTGTAAGACGAGGGGGAGTGTTTTTTTTTGCGGCGCCCCCTCCGACCCCCTGCGGGCTCTGCCACGCTCTCTGCTGTGCTGGCGCTAACGCTTTGGCACAGCACACCAGACAGGCTGCGAACCACGACATGCTGTCTGCTGTACACGGCTTTGATGGTTCTC